GCTGCAGAAGCCATTGCTCCAGGGAGCGGTGGGGGCAGGCAGCCTAGCCAGGTTCAAAAAGGGACTGGACAAGTTTTCATAGATCCATAGATGTAGGGTCAGAAGGGACCACAGTAGGTCATCGAGTCCGACCCCCTGCCCCGGGCAGGAAAGAGCGCAGGGGTCAGGCGACCGCAGCCAGGTGCTTGTCCAGCCTCCTCTTGAAGACCCCCAAGGCAAGGGAGAGCACCACCTCCCGTGGGAGCCCCTTCCAGATTCTGGCAAGCTGTACCGTAAAGAAGTTCTTCCTGATGTCCAACCTGAATCTGCTCTCCGTCAGTTTGTGGCCGTTGTTCCTAGTTACTCCAGGGGTGCCCTAGTAAATAAAGCATCTCCTAGTCCTTGCTGTCCCCCCCGATGAATGTATAGGGAGCCACAAGATCACCTCTCAGCCTTCTCTTGCGGAGGCTGAGGAGATCCAGGACCCTCAATCTCTCCTTGTAGGGCTTTGCCTGCAGGCCCCTGACCATACGAGTGGCCCTTCTCTAAAGTTCATAGATGACAGATCTCTTAACTGTTTTTGAACAGAATGGTTGAAAGGTTTCCTTGGGCATCTCCAAACCAGCAATGATGGATACCAGGAGAGTAGTGAAAAGGGGATGGGTCACTCTAAACCTTTTGGCTCTCTGGGCCAGGTGAGTGGCGTGGCACCCATCCGTGGGCTGTATTGCTGCTGCCCCCTCCCTGCCTTGCATGCCGAGATTGGGTGCTGGGGGCCTGGCACTAACCCCCCCTGCCCCCCCCGTGTGCCAGGATTGGGCCCTGGGGCCCGACACTGTCCCCGTTAATTCCTGCGTGCTGGGATTGGATGCCAGATCCATCCTACGGGGCCCAGATCTCCCCGTGGGTTCAGAGATTTGGCAGCAGGAGAGCGGAGGAGTCACTTCCCTGCTGCCACGTTTCTGGGGCCCGGTGAGCCGGATGACACGGGGCTGCAGGCCAGAGGATGAGCCCCCTGCTCGGGATCGGTTCAGTTCAGCGCTGTCCCTCTAGCATCCGCTTCTGCCACTCTTGGAGACGGGCCTCTTTGCTGTGCCATGGGAAAACAAGGGCGTAGGCCCACATAGGAAAGCTGTAAGCCCCTCTAATCAGGGAGGCATAGCAACTAATAGCTTGGGGCAAACAAAAGAGAAAACGGAGACGGGAGCGACCGTCATAGGTTATAATGAGAGACCCAAAGGGGACCACACTGGCCAGCTCCCACGGCCCCTTGAACCAGTTGCAGGAGCCTGTGGATGCAAACCAGTGAAACTCTGCCCAGAGGTGTGAGAAGAGGAGTCGCAGGAAAATAGCCCCACGCTTGCCCAACTTCCCTCTGGCCAGAGCTTTTTTCCTAGTCTGATAAATGGACAGCTTGGCCAGACCCCTGTCGGAGACAGGATCCTGGGTAGATGGACCATTGGTCTGCCCCAGTGTGGCACCTCTTCTTAAATGACTGTTATTTCTGCCACTGGATCCTCAAATAAGAGCGAGCAAAAAATCTTAAAAGATCTTTCTGCAGCTGCCAGCCGTCCGACGTTCCCCTCTCCCGTACGTAATATCGTCAGTTCCCAAAAACTGGAATTCTGGGAAGGAACCTAGAGCTCTGCCGAGAGGTAATTTTCTCGGAAAGGGGCGTCCTCATTTAACCCTTCGGATTGCTTTAGGTTTTGGGATGGGAAAAGTCCATCGCACACGTTGCTGCAGCATGGGGAAAACATTGACTGCCAGCATGCGAGTGGGAAACCCATATGCCATAGGGAAGTGGAATCGAAGATTTGACCAACAATGCTCAACTGCTAAGTGCCAGTAGATGTAAAGCAAAGTCTTGGCATTTTGTGTTCATTAGCTACACTTCTGACTCTTTTCTTTTTCTTTTTTTCTTTTTTTTTAATTAAAGAACAGCAGTTGTAATGTGATAGCATTTGAGTTCACGAGGGGACCATTAGCTTATCTCTTCTGACCTCCTGCCTACCACAGGCCATTATATTTCAGTTTTTTCTCACAACAAAATGGCAGTTCATAATTATCATGAGCAGCTATTACTTACAATATCTCTGTATCCAGTTCTCTAGATAAAAATATTCACTTTATGTGGCAACAAAACCGCCTCAAAATGGTGCAGTAAGCAACACAAATAAACAAGAGGCCATAACTGCTGTGGAGATTGTAGTGCTAAAAGCAGGCACAGGGTAGCTCTGCAGCTCAGGCTGCAGGATAGTGTAAAGATATCTGAGTAAATGAGCTAGCTCAGGGAGGAGAAGCCACCGAGCTGGAGGAGCACAGAGATAACTTACCTACTTCTGGCCCCTGGGCAAAGGGTTGGCACCTTGCACGCAGTTCGGGTGTTCCTGGGGACGGTGATGCAGGCTGCAGAGGAAATACACCCGCAGCAGCTGGGCACGAGGGAAAGACCTAGCCAAAAACACAGCACCGTGACAGTAAACGGGAGACGGGGTCTTGGGCCGGGGTGTCATCAGTGCTTTTGTAACGAGCAGGAGGAAAGCATGGAGCAGAGACTACCAGACCCGGGAAAGAAAAGCATGGTTGCAGACCGTAAGGCAGCAGGTTTGGCAGAAAGGGTGGTTAGAGGGCACAGAGTTGGTGGGTGCAGATGGATGTAACAATAGTTTCAGCAAAATTTGATAGGGATATAAGCTGCTGAAGTGTCGTGGTTGGGTCTGCCTGCATCTGCAGTGAACAAATATGGCAAAAAATGTCGACGCTTTAACTCTTGCATTCAAGGTTAAAACTAGAGGCTGTAAACAGATGCCTCATTTGAGGCAGTCCCGATTGTCCTGGATCAGCACACGTAGCCCTTCCAAGCTGCATTGCTGCCCTCGGCTAGCAGCGAGACGCAGCCTGACAGGCATGTTCCTGAGATGACTGGCAATTAGCTCGAATGACCGGCAGCTAACTAAGAGGGACACAGCGCTGTCTGGGGGAAAAGTGTTGGTGTATTTTATCTTGCATACTTCCCTGGTGCTTGAAGTGGGTCAGTGGTGCTCAGCCTATCCAGTCCCATAGGCTGGGTGAGTGGTGAGGGGCTGGGTGCATGGGGGCAGGCCAGGGGCCAGAAGCTCGTCTGGCTGGGCCACGCACCTGAGCTACCGCACCTGCCCTGATCCCTGGCTCTGCAGCCGGATTGGCTGTCGCACGTGCCGCTCGCCCCGTGTAAGCACACCTGCAGGCCGTCACGCAGCCTCGCTCTGTCTGCCCAGCCTCTCATTCACGGCTCTCCTCTTGTCCTGGCTCCTGGGACTGCTCTGACCCCGGTCTTGAATCGTTCCTGAACCTCAGCGCTGGCTCTGCTCTCTCTGGTTTCCCCGGCATCCCCGCTTGGCTTGGCGTCCTCGGCCCTGGATCTTCCTTGGAACTCGGCACTGGTTCTCTGACCCCGGCACCTGACCTTGGCTCACGTCTCGGGTTGTCCCTTGCATCTCCCGTCAGGTCTGGGAACCTCGGCCCCCCAGGTCACCCTAGTCGCCTACTGCAGGCCCGGCTGCCTACGTTCCAGCTGAACCCTCATGCATGTGATTTGCGTGGGGTTGGTCCGTGGACCTGATCCAGCTTGCAGGGTCAGTCCACAGGTGTGATCTGGGGTGCTGGCCGGACCCCATGCTCCAGGTGTGGCTCCAGGTCTGGCTGCTGCACTGTATGCCAGCCCCTCCCCAGGTGCTGGACCTGGCCAGGGCATGACCCAGTCTGCCAGCACACAAGGCCATGCCATCTCTACTGCTGCGTTCCTCACGGGTCCAGGGCTTTGACAGTGGGGGAGCAGTGGGGGAGTGATTAATATTGCTACCGCTCCCCCTCCACCAGACTTCCAGACCTATGGGGAGCCCTATGGGCGGGACGATGTGGCTCTGGGCTGCATTTGGCCCACGGGCCAAAGATTGAGGACCAATCGACTAGTACATGTGTAGGCTCCTGAAGCAAAAGGCTGTCTTCCAGGAGACATCTGCACTCGCTGGCTTACTTCAAGTACCTGTGAAATATGCCGGATAAAATGTGCTGACAGTTTTTCCCTGAGACCTGGCTGCATGCGCCCGTAAGTTAATTGTGGCTCGTTTAACTTCATTGTGGTTCATTCCAGCGATAAGCCTGTCAAGCCGTGTGCTCTCCCTGGTCGCCCACTGGCAGAGGAACAGCAACGCGGCTTGCAAGGGCTTGTGTTGTAGGCTCTTGGTGCGCGTGCATTTAATGGCATGGTGCAAGCTGATCTCCAGTCCCAATAATCATGCCTCCTGCCATGCATGCATACTTGATGCTAGCAGATCACAGCCTTTTCCTCTGATGGACTGAGCTTCCACTGCTTTGGTACATTCACTTTTCTTTTGTTTACTAAAATTTGCCGAGTGGAACTGGTGACCTCGTTATTTTAATCTATTTGCATTGTGGAGAGTTTACCTGCATGTATACTTTTCAGGAAAAAATCATATTAATTTTTATCCTGCATTACTATCCATCTCCAGTCTGTACTAGCGAAAGCTTTCCAACTGCTAAGGAATCCTTAAGGATTTATTTCCTTCCTCTTCTGCTTAAGTAGAACCTGCTCAGTTCTGGTGGGAGCGGTTGGCAAGTCATAATGAAGCAGTGCATTGAATTTCAACAGGGCAGCTCCAAAAAGCCACTAAAATAGCTGAAATCCCATAACAGGCCGTGGTGATCTTTTGCTGTGAACTCTGATAGAAAGGTCAGGAATCAAATTTTGGATATTGCTTAAAGTTGGAAGGCTATCACCGTCAAGATCCCATCTTAAAGAGAACATGGAGATTAATTCAGTTGAGGGCCCTTTCCACACGATTGGTATTATATGACGTGCATGAAGTATTAACTTTGTACTAATCCGCTAGCCACAGTATAATTTAAACAACGATGTTCCGTATTTTTAATGCTGCCCATTTTTCACTTCTGTGTTCTCTCATTCCACAGATCGCCAGTTTGAAATGTTCAATTTATTGTTGTATTTTTTTAAACAGAAATCACCTGCAAAGAAGCTGAGCCATGCAATTAGTAAATCTTTTGGTTGCGTACCAACTAGAGAGCCGCCGCATCCTGTCTTTCCTGAACAGCCAGAGAAGCCACTTGATCTTGCTCATATAGTGTGAGTAGCCATTTGTATGCCTGTTCTGTTTCATCAAGCTTAAAACTACACGCATGATGCCACACAAGATGTATGTGGATATGTTTGATTACTGTACTTGGCTTCTTCAGTATCATTTAGATTTACCACTGATTGTTTAACTTCTGTTTTTTATCATGGAGAAAGGGCCCAGCCTTGCAGGGTACTACGCAGCTTCAGCTCCCACTCAGCTCGAATGGGAATTGAACCTATTCTGCATCTTGTTCGCTCTGATCTCAACTTCTATGGATTTTGCCATAGATTAAACAATATAAACAAAGCAATGTCTTTTATAGGTTGTATCTTCTTCTGCATTCATATTTTATGGAATGGTTTTAAGATACCATTACTGGTCCACCTGAACTTCATGTATAACTCTCTATGGCTTTCTAGGAGTCTTGGATTTATAAGTTATTCATTTGTTTGTCTCCAGCTGGTACGCCATGTTTTCCTGCTCAGTAGTGTTATTTGTTCAGGTTCACTGTGGCCTTTTGTGAAGCTGGCAGAAGGGTTATAACAAAGAGCCATTGTGGCACTGATGCATTTGGACAGATCAGTGATCAGTCTGATATTTCTACTTCTTATACTCATTAGTTTTGGGCATCAAAATTTAGAACCCAAATTCTGGCATCTTGTATGTGTAATAAACAAAACCTCCAAGAAGACAATCAGTAACTACCACACTGCTTTCTAAAACCCCTTTTTTTCATATCAGCAAAAACTAAACAAATAGCTTGGAGAAGAATAAGGGGAGAAAGGTAAAATGAGGGGCTATAATTTAAATAAACTCACTAGTTTTGTGCGCTGGTTCCAATAAGGATACCAACATTGCAGTTTCAGGACAGAATTAAGCTGGTATGCTTCCTGTTCTCATGTGTCATGTTTGGGATCTACCTAAGTTGCAACGAGCAAAAGGGATTTTCGTGGGCTGCTCACAGCACACAGAGCCATTTTCACTATGAGCCTGTCCCTTGCTGCTGATTGGCCAAGAGGGTCCCTGTGGCCCCACCCTTTGCCACTTATTGACGGCCAAGAGTGCTGTCCATCATGTGGCCCCACCCCTTGCACCCCTCTCAACCAATCTGGGGGGAGGAGGAGGTTGCCATCTTGGCGGCTGCTCCCCTTCGTGCCAGCAGCCCCCCCGCCCCATGCCGACTGGCTGCAGGCTGGGCCGCACCAGCCATGAGGACTGCTGGCTCCCACTGTGGAGCCAGCATTTTATTTTTAGGAAGTCTTTCTTATTTTTGATTTTTGCAGATTTTACAGACAATGCCCAATTTTGCAGTTTCCACAAAATAGCAAGGTCCCTAGTAGGTCTCTAGTCATCGTCACAAGGAGCACTCTCTGGAGGGGCTTTCTCTATTTTCTACATTGAGAACTAGGCTATCAGAGTTTTAATGTCGTTCAGTCCTTGATTATATTAATGCATGCCCCTTACCCTTTTGTAACGTCTTGTGATTTTGATTGACTGGCCTTTTATCATCCCCTTTTAACAGTTTTGGCAGCCATTGAGGAAGAGCTGAAGTGTATGTAGCCTGTCAAAATACAGACTATGGAAAGGTGAGAGTAGTCCAGTAGCGAAGGTGATCATAGCATAGTGAAATGCCAATGTGTTGTCATCGTCATAGAAAGAGCACAGAAGATACCGTAGCATGATATTAATAAAAGTAGGAATAGGTAATGGCACAGTAGAGGCATGTAGTCTATCGCTGAACTTCTCGAAAGCTACAGTTTTGAGTTATGCTAATTCTGTCTTGGCCACGTGATTGTTTTTTCAGTGTTTGCATCACTGAACAGTTGTTTGCTTTTACTGTCGTTATTTAATTCCTATGCATCGGGGGTTGTTGGATCTGATTTAATGGAATATAATTGGACTCCTTTTCCCTGTAAAATTAAAGTCATAAAAAGAAATTTTCTTTTAATGCGACTGTTCATTTCCGAGCTAGGAATGGTTTGTTCTCTTCAGTTAATGACTTGTCATGTTAACAAAACAAGCAGGGTATAAATGGTCTATAAAATTAAAAACGAATAGATAACTATGTGCCCTGGTTGAGGCATGTTAGGAAAAACCAGCTTGAGTTATTGAGCTTTTAAGGCTGGATTTGCTGCAGTGGGGATGCTGCCCAGTCTGATGGCAAGCAGGACTTTCTTCGTTGTTTATTTTTTCCTGTGACTCCAAGATCATCAGTAATCAAAATTTGCATTTCATTCTTTGGGTTCTTTGGGTTTCCTTCATTCTGATTGATGCATACAAGTTTTTAACCAGAGAAAATCAGGATAACTTCATTTGAAAAGGGCGAGCCTTATTCCATGGCTGTATGTGCGTATAATGTCAGATGAGGGCGGTTCTAGTGAAGTCAGGGTGACTGTTTGTATGACTAAAAGCTGACGGTTCTGATCCCGAAACTACAAGAGGAAGAAGTTTTATCTCATGCACGGATTAACAAGTACACTGAATCGCTTCATTTAACTGCTAGGAGATGTTACTTCAGTAATGGGTCAAGTGAATGTGTGCCAAGAAGAACAGCAATGGTCAGATTTCCCTTTCTTTAAATGTTGACACAGTCACCATTGAATCTCTCTGCCTCCAGCCAGGCCCTGCGGTCTAGTCCCCAAAACCGCTGTTCCAGTAGTACCCTGCCAGTCAGATGGTTTATTATGCTGCAGAACAGCACAAATGGAAACCCTCGCACCAAGGCTGGGCTATGTGTGTTTTAGCTGAAATTCAAATGAATATTTCAGAGATGCTTCCAAACCATTTTAGTTTCATTTTAGGAGGATTTTCAAATCACTGCCACTATCTGTTAAAATGATTTCTCGGCCACTTCAAAGGTTATTTCACTGGGTCTGGTTTTGCTCATGACAACCCAGTGGTGATATTTAATATTGAGCTCTAATTCAGATTAGTTTGTTTCCATTTAAAGAATAATATAATCTTCAGAGTCACTTAGTGAACTTTTGTGCATGTTGCACATCTTCTCTTCACACCTTCATCCTCTTGTATAGTTTGCATTTTGGGAAAATCCAAAGTAGTCCTGTACAAAAGACTCCCTGTGCTGGGAGTCAGAGGACCTGTGGATTCAGTTTCCAGCTTTCTTCCATCTGCCGTGCAGTTTTGAGCGAGTCATCTCTCAGCTTTTTGCCGCTTTCCATTTTTGTCCTTTTGATTTTTGCCTTTTTAGATTGCAGCTTTTCAGGGCAGTAGTTGTCTGTTACTACGTCTGAACAGTTTCTAGTACAACGAGGGCTCTTTATATGGTGTTGCAATAATAAAAACAGTGCATTCAAGTAAGAGAGCTAAAAAGTACTTATCTTCCATATTTCTTCAGGGGAGTATGATTTTACATTAGGGTGTGAAGACATGTTCTATATCCAGTCCACGTGGATGAGAATGTGCTTTATGGTGAAATACTAGCTTTGAAGGCTGTAAACGCTGTATTCAGGCTCAGACCAAGGCTACGAAAGCTGCAACTTAGGTTGTAGTGACAGCCTGGAGGCGTTTGTGGAGTGATCGTAGGGTCCTTGCCCTCCACACCCACTAAAGAGGACCAGAAGGCTGTAGCAGTGGGATATTAATAAAGGTCAGAGAGACCTGCATGGGGGCCAGATTACAACCCACGCTACGGTTGCACATCTCTCTTCGCCCCCTCATATTACATGGTGAAATGTGATGCCTGGTCCCCCTCCCTAAGAAAAAAAAAAGAGAGGCGGGTCCCCAGAGTGTCAGAGCCAGGAGAAAGACTGCATACGTTGCACCAGAGAGGAGACAGGCTGAGCTCCCGAAGGCCGTAGCACAGATGGCTCTGTTAGAGAAGTTTGGCTGCGGGAATGCAGGCAGCTGGCCTTGCTGCATTAGCTGGTTTGAGACACTCCAGACAGCTTCAGACTTGTCAGCAAGCACACAAGAATATGAGGACCCTATGGCCAGTCCACAGGGCTGTGAGTCTGTAATAGCTCCTAGCGAAATTACCTTATTCAATGAGAATCGTCCCTAGGGGTCTGTTGAAATGGTGCGGCTCTCTACCATTTGAGTGTGCTACCTGTGCCCCGCCCCCGTGGTAGGTCAGCTTCTCTGGTGGTGCCAGGAGAAAGATGAGCATCATACCGTTCTCTTGAAGAAGGGTTGAGGTATCAGTTATGAAGGCAGTTGAGTTCCTAATGAGAAGGCTGAAGTGTTTAATAGCTTTTTTTTACTTCGGCCTTAATAAATAAAGTCAGGGACCAGACGATGAATACAGTTGTCACCAATGATAAGGGAGGTGGCAAACAGCCTAGAGCAGTGGAAGAACAGGTTGATTGTTTAGGGAGGCTGGATGCTTTCAGGTCAGTGGGGCAGACGAGATGCACCCCGGAGTACTGGAGGAGTGGGCTGCAGGGATTTCAGGGACATTGGCTGTCCTCTTTGAGGACTCCTGGAGCTCAGGGGAGTCTTGGGTGACTGGAAAAGAGCAAATATGGTGCCCATCTTTAGGAAGGGTCGGGAGGAGGATCCAAGGGATTACAGATCAGTCAGTCTGATCTTGATACCTGGAAAGATCGCTGAACAGGTCGTCAAGGAATCCTTTGAAGCGTCTGGAGGAGAACCAGATGATCAGGAACAGCCAGCATGGATTATCAAAAGCAAATCATGCCTGGCCATGTTTTTTTTCTTGTATGGCAAAGTGACAAACTCTTGGAATAGTGGAGAGCAGTGGATGTGGTTTATCTTGATTTTGTCAAGGTTTTGAATACTGTCTGCCATGACATTCTCATTAAATAGCTAAAGGAATACAGTACTTCCATCCAGTGTGTAAAGTGGATACATAATTGGTTGGATCGTCGTGTTCAATGAGTAATAATCAATGGCTCAATGTCTAGTTTGGAAGTGGTTTCAATTGGGGCTCCCCAGGGTCTGTCCTGGGTCTGGTATTGCTTAAAACAGCAGTTTTTAACCTTTTTAGATGCAAGAGCTCCCTCAGAAAATGGCATATGCCAGCTCTTAA